ATTGGTAGGAAGATTTATAGGAACGCACCTTGTCCTGAGTCCATTGTATGCATAATTATTTCCAAAGTCGAACCGTGGAAGCGTTACATTGCCAAACGTTTCGCCGGCATCGTAGTCAGCATCGTCAGTGAGTCTCGTCATTCGTAGCAACATATTACAACTCGTCATATGGACAAGTGAAGTCTATCCTTTGACCAAACGTGTGGTATGATCCTTCGAGCGGCATTCATGAAAACCCTTCACACTTCACACTGTCGTTATCACCAAATTCACTCTTGTGCTGGGAATGTTGACCAGAGTCTGTCATATTGTTACGTAGTCCTTCCCTAGGTCCTATCAAAGTCTCCTTCTTGCCCCGTGGAATCCGTCTGCTATCTCCCTGGTACATGTACTTCAACTCGACCCCTGCCCCCCTATCTGTGCTCTTCGAGACGTAATTCGTCCATCACTTGCACCTGGGTGACTAATTCGAGGCACAAGCATCAGAGTAAGTCTAATGGTCACGCCTTTGCCACATGGACCATGTCTCTTGTAAAGCCTACTGTCAGCCAACTAGCTCCAATCACAGTCTTGTCTATCCTGTCCCTATTCCTAAAGAACCATCAAAATTTGTCCGGGTTGGCTTGGTTTTGCCCCGTCTTGTTATCCCATAGCTAAGCGATTTCTTGTCATACCTCTTATTTATCAGATCCCGAACCCTCTGTGAATTCTGGTGTGTAATGCTCTAGAGTTTTTTTGACAGTAGGCTTTACAAGAGACATGGTCCATGTGGCAAAGGCGTAACCATTAGACTTACTCTGAGGCTTGAGCCTCGAATTAGTCACCCAGGTGCAAGTGATGGACGAATTACGTCTCGAATGGCACAGATAGGGGGCAGTGGTCGAGTTGAACTACATGTACCAGGGAGATAGCAGACAGATTCTACGGGGCAAGAAGGATACTTTGATAGGACCCAGGTAAGGACTACCTAACAATATGGCAGACTCTGGTCAACATTCTCATCATAAGGGTGAAGAGGGTGATAACGACAGTGTGGATTGTGAAGGGTTTTCATGAATACCGCTCGACAGGGCACACGACACTACATTAGGAATAAGCACGGTAAAAACTGTTACAGGGAAGGCATGATAGAAGGATATAGGAAATGTGAATAGGCCAGGGCAAAAGGTGAGATACCATAACTGTTTAGCACACGTTTGGTCAAAGGATGGGCTTCACTTGTCCATTTGACGAGTTGTAATATGGTGCTACGAATGGCGAGACAGACTGACGATGCCGACTACGATGCCAGCGAAACGTTTGGGAATGTACCGCGTCCACGGTCG